AAAGGCTGCTGGACCGAAGGCTGGTCCTGCGTTGTTACCCAAAAAGTCGATGGGCGTGTTGCCGAAGAAAGCGCTTCCGGTTGCTGCCAAGACGGAGTCGGGTGCAGCGGCTAAGGCAGCAGAAGCCTCGACGGGAGGGAAGGCAGTTGTGGGTGTGGATGGGAAGAGTGAGGGTGAAGTGAAGGATGGAAAGGCTGCTGGACCGAAGGCTGGTCCTGCGTTGTTACCCAAAAAGTCGATGGGCGTGTTGCCGAAGAAAGCGCTTCCGGTTGCTGCCAAGACGGAGTCGGGTGCAGCGGCTAAGGCAGCAGAAGCCTCGTCGGGAGGGAAGGCAGTTGTGGGTGTGGATGGGAAGAGTGATGGTGATGCGAAGGATGGAAAGGCTGCTGGACCGAAGGCTGGTCCTGCGTTGCTACTGAAGAAAGCTGCAAATGTGCTTCCCAAGAAGGCGGTGGAACACGCATTAAAGAATCCGATGGCTGGAGTTAACGGGGTGGCTTCAGGGGATCTTTCGAAGCCTTCAACGTTCGGAGATGTCGTGGGAACTGCTGCATCAGGCGAACAAAAGGTTTCTGCCTCTGGTGAGAATTAGGCCCTATCGCTCCCGGCATGGTGTGAAGAGTACCGGCTACGTCTGTAGGACTCAGCGCCTGCTTGTTGAGTTGCTGCTTAATATGCTCGTAACTTAAAACTGAACGGAATTTTTGGGCGACACTTGGGGGAAAGTTATACACATTCCGCTTATTCTTATGGACCTCGCGCAGGTCCGTCGGCTAGCCTGCAAAAGCATCAAGGCGTATATCTCCAAGTTACTCACGGAGATTCCATCTCCTCCACCAACCCCGTCTTGCAGACCACACCTCCTTCAACCGACACCAACCCCGAGACGTTGGCCCCTACAACAAACGAAGGTGAAGCGCCATTGAATTTTGCTCAGAAGGAAAGTCGTACGCAGTCACAAAGACGCGAAGGCATTCATGTGGATATGGAACCAGCAGAAGAGTATCCAAGCTTTCCTGAACCAGCAGGCTTAACTTCCCAAGCTGAACGCACTCAGGGTTCCAACCCCCCCACAGACTGGCTCCCCAATGAAGCCTTGCCATCACCACCCATACCTGCACACCCACAAGCAGCAGCAGGCGCCATCGACAAAGCAGCAAAAACACCTGAACCAGAAATTGCCAAAGCCAACAATGCAGGCTCGACAAGGCCGAGAACTGAAGCTCCGCAAAAGGCAGCGCCTGCGTTGCTTCCAAAGAAGTCTATGACTGTGTTGCCAAAGAACGCGGTGGAGGCCCCGGCAAAGGCAAAGCCAGACGCATCAGCCGCAACCAAGCCAGCAGAAGCTGAAGCAGCGGCGAAGGCAGATGGAGGTTTGGAGAAGAAGAGTGAGGGTGAAGGAAAATCGGAGACTGTGGCGCCCAAGAAGGCAGCGCCTGCGTTGCTTCCAAAGAAGTCTATGACTGTGTTGCCAAAGAAGGCGGTGGAGGCTACTGCGAAGGTAGACGCATCAGCCACAGAGATGCTCGCAAAAACCGATGCAGCAGCAAAGGCCGACGGCGCATTGGAGAAGAAGAGTGAGGGTGAAGGAAAGTCAGAGACTGTGGCCCCCAAGAAGGCAGCGCCAAGCAACGGATGACGCTTCTGCGGCCACTGACGCCGTTTTTGACTACGTAGTCGGTGTCGCCGCGGAACAAACACCGATGCAGGAGCAAAGGCAGATGGAGGTTTGGAGAAGAAGAGTGGGGGTGAAGGAAAATCGGAGGCTGCCACCGCGAAGAAGGCAGCGCCTGCGTTGCTTCCAAAGAAGTCTATGACTGTGTTGCCAAAGAAGGCGGTGGAGCCAGACGCATCAGCCGCAACCAAGCCAGCAGAGGCCGCAGCAGCAGCGAAGGCAGATGGAGGTTTGGAGAAGAAGAGTGAGGGTGAGGGAAAATCGGAGGCCGCCACCGCGAAGAAGGCAGCGCCTGCGTTGCTTGCAAAGAAGTCTATGACTGTGTTGCCAAAGAAGGCGATGGAGGCTACTGCAAAGGTAGACGCATCAGCCGCAACGAAGCCAGCAGAAGCCGAAGCAGCAGCGAAGGCAGATGGAGGTTTGGAGAAGAAGAGTGAGGGTGAAGGAAAGTCGGAGACTGTGGCCCCCAAGAATGCAGCGCCTGCGTTTCTTGCAAAGAAGTCTATGACTGTGTTGCCAAAGAAGGCGGTGAAGGCTACTGCAAAGGTAGACGCATCAGCTGCAACGAAGCCAGCAGAGGCCGAAGCAGCAGCGAAGGCAGATGGAGGTTTGGAGAAGAAGAGTGAGGGTGAAGGAAAATCGGAGGCTGCCACCCCGAAGAAGGCAGCGCCTGCGTTGCTTCCAAAGAAGTCTATGACTGTGTTACCAAAGAAGGCGGTGGACGCTCCGGCAAGGGCAGACACATCTGCCACAGAGATACCCGCAAACGCCGATGCAGCAGCAAAGGCCGACGGCTCATTGGAGAAGAAGAGTGAGGGTGAAGGAAAGTCGGAGACTGTGGCCCCCAAGAAGGCAGCGCCTTCGTTGCCTACTGAGAAGACGCCGGTGACTGCGGCAAAAACTGATGCATCAGCCACAGCGGCGCCAACAAACACCGATGCAGCAGCAAAGGCAGATGG